TGTCCGCCAGACATCCGGCCCTCGCTCCTGGGTCGCTGCCCTCGAAGTTGTGTAGGTCGACGGTAATTTGCCGGACCCTGGTCTGTATCGCGGCTGGTGGGAGATGCGGTATTGCTGGCGCGCTTGGGCGTGATGTCTCCGGCTACTCAATCTGTCCGGGCCGAGATAGATGTGTCGCCAATGCTAACGAGGAAGGAGCGCTCGCCTTGGTATGGGCCAATGGTAGGGTCGTCGTTGTTTGGTGGAGGTAGAATACCAGGAAACGATGCGGTTGGCCTGAGCGGCGGAACAGGGCGAAGGACCAAGTCGAGAAATCGGCGTGCCAAGGACGTCGTCGATGATGTTGTTGTGCTACCTCATATACCGGCAACGATTAGAAGCAAGTAGCATGATTAGAACGTCAATCGTCTAACATTTGGTCGTACTGGCAAACTAGGTACACTCATATACACCTCGAATCTGCATCCACCACCATCTCCCGCCAAGCACGTGCAGAAGCGGCGATCCCGACCTGCAGCAGGCTTTCCCGAAAGCAATACCTCACCTCGAACGTCAGGCAGACACCACCATCAGTCGCAACGACCACCTTCGACCCGCGACCACGACACCACCGCCACCCTCTTGCCTCCAATGGATTCTTCCACCATGGCCGACTTACCCAAGCTCACCGATGACCTCGCCCCCAAGTTCGCGCCTTTCCTAGGCATGGCTGGTGTAGCCTTTGCCATGATCTTTGGCTGTAACACTACCCCCATACCCCCCAACATATACACAAACACATACTGAGAGGAATGAATCACAGGCATAGGCGCAGCCTACGGCACCGCCAAATCCGGCATCGGCATCGCTGGTGTCGGTACCTTCAGGTCGGACCTTATTATGAAGGTACGCTCTTCCTCCTCCCCCTCCCTCCATCCGCCATCCCCTCCACAAGTATACACCAGAGCCATCACTGACACACTCTTCGCTACGCTCAGAGTCTCATCCCAGTAGTAATGTCCGGAATCATCGCCGTCTACGCCCTCGTCGTCGCCGTCCTCATCGCCGGCAACATGAAGCCCCCCTCCGTCAACTCCTACTCCCTCTTCCAAGGTTTCCTGCACTTGGCGTGTGGGCTGAGTGTCGGGTTGACGGGGCTGGCGGCTGGGTATGCCATCGGGAAGGTGGGGGATACGGTGAGTCAATATATCTATATACAAGAAATGAGATATCGATGGGGCGGTGCTGATGATGGGTATGATACAGGGAGTGCGGAGCTACATGCAGCAGTCGAGGATCTTCGTGGGGATGGTGCTGATTCTAATTTTTGGGGAGGTGCTTGGGCTTTATGGGTGAGTTGTGGCTACGATGGCATGATGGGATGGGATAAATGCTAACAGTGATATAGGTTGATCGTGGCGCTGATCTTGAACACGAGGTCGTCGGGCTGAAGCAGCTATGCTTTCCCGACCCGGCGAGTCAATATCCAATCTATTCGGAGGCGTCTGCAAGTTGTGTACAGTACATGCATAGCGACCCTAGATTGGGCTGTGTTTACTTATTGAATGATGTACAATTCTATATGAAGCTACATGAGTTTCAATTGCTCAATGGTCGAGACGAAACGTGGCTGGAGTGAATTGCCAAGTACGACGAACCGCTTCCCAGGATTTTGCTTCGTCGACTGTTGTCCTAATCCCGCCCAACAGCGGCGACACACATCTTTTCCTACAGCGCTACACAATTCGTACCGTCCTCTGTACCGTGTTCGAGTTCCGAGTTTTAGCGCCTGGACGTACGGCTCGACGGTACGGACTAGGACTGCGACTCGGGCTCGGCCGGGCCAGTAGGTCGAAGCCAGGAAGCTATGGTATTCGGAGGGAAAGTGTCGCAGGTGTCTCGTGTGTGGTGTTCATTACTAGCTGCGAGGCTATCGGGAGCTCGATTGTCGCCATTGGAATTGGTGGCCTGGCATTTGTGATCCGTGGGAAAGTTGCCAAAGGAATCGATGGCATCGTGCTTGGGGCCATAGTCGTTCGTCTCCCAGTGGAAGTGCAGCATTCGTATGAGAAAACGAGAACTGTCTCGAGAGGACCTATGAAGTTGGACGGGTGGCTGAGCTGCGGGTGCAACTGATGAAGCATTCGGGTCATCCAATCGTTTGCCGGCTGTCCCACCTGAGCGTAAGGGTCGTGTATTGAACAGTCAACCGCAAATGTGCTCCCTGGTTGTGGCGTTTGAGACACGAACTCCCATGGAAGTTCTCATCATGGTGGGTGCTCCTGATGAGCTCCAGCACGGCGGAAGGGACTTGTCGATCTCGCGATTTGGCTACTACTACGCCTTTGAGATAAGCAACGACGTACGTCAATCCGACCATGTTCGCTCTGGCCTCTCAGTTGCCCTTTTGTCGTGCTTGCTCTCAAACAATCTCCTTGATGGCATAGTAGATCGCGTAGATGGCGAGAGGAATCAGAAACCCCGAGCTAGGGGTATACTCCGGTGGCTTTTCCTCTTCTTCCTGCATCGCGAGACGAGAAGTCCTCCTGGAAGTCCTCTGATCGGCTGGAAATCAGGAATAGGTTGTCGTAGCGCTAGGAGGTGTCGTGAGGTATTGGATAGGTGGTACGTCAAAGGGCGCGCGTCTCAAAACCGTCGATTCCATATTCCACTCTCACTGGTATTACCGTGTCTGTAGTTGCCGTACGACAGGTCGTGAAAGAGATGGAGGTGAACGTGATGTAGGTCCTTGCTTCGGCCTGGGCATCCATGGCGCCCCGCCACATATCTATCTCTCCGAGTAGTCTACCTTGCTCCGTAGTACGGAGTAATTGAGGTGGCAGCTCTCGACAGCGGTCTGATGATTCTCTCAACCTCGACTGCACATCCGCACATTATTTCATGGCCTTCGTACAAGGCTAGCTTCGCTCTGATAGCTGTCGTCACACAGTAGCATGCCCGCGCTCTTCTAGCTGCCTCCTAGCAACCCTGCTCACGATGGAATAGTTGACTGCGAAGCCTGTGCCGAAGAAGAGAAATATTGAGACGACGAGGCATATCCAGCAACGGAGACGTCTCGAGTGCGGTGAGTACCTAGGTCCACATATGCCTTGGCTGATCTTAACAAGGCTGCCGGGGGGTCTGCGAGCCCTGATGTCCACAACGTTTCTCACCGGTCCCAGCACCCTCCCCGGATTCCTTCATGCGCTCCTGCGCTCAATACGGTACCACGCAGTGCTTGCGTTGATGCGCCGCAGGCTAATATGCATGTTCCCGCATCGATACCTTATGTTCACTTTGCCTTGGCGCTCTGTGCTACGTCACCCCCTTGGCCGGGTTTCCCCGCCCGCGATTGGACGATCAGCAGCCTGAACCGCACCTCACCTTGCTCTCCCCCCCCCCAAGTACGCAAGGCTGAGCACATATGCGATATCGCGATCTGCCAGAAGTAAATTGATGCTCATGCCGTATAGAGACTCGAGTGGGAATGCCAAATAGTTCTCTTTTCTTGCAAGCCTCTCCTCTGTGCACATTTCCTGCCATCTCCTTCTTTGCCACTACGATTCATCCATGATGCTCTCTCACGAAGCTTAAGAGGTACAGTCGTCGAGATTTCATCGCAGTTCGATTAAGGTACCGAGTTTGCCCTGTGTAGCCTTCCACAGCCTTGTCTATGCGAGAACATATGACCTGACAAGTTTGACAGGTGGCTGTGCGGCGTTGTGCAGGTACTCGAATACCATCAGCCTTGCCACCTTTTTAAAACCACTTTCGCTCCGGAAGCATTTCAAACCGACAAAAACCATCCCTATAGCGAACAAACAACATGGCTCAATACATGCCGCCAACAGCCCAGCAGCAGCCACCCGGCGCATCACGCTCGCGAGCAACATCCCGCGCATCCATTAAATATCATCCAGACAATCCAAGAAACCTGCAGCCACCAACACCTCAACCCTCCGCTCCAATGCCGATTCCAGCCTACGTTCAACAGGGAGGCCCTACATTCGCAGGACAGCCATTTCTGGGCACGCCTCCGGTCGCGAATGCAGCATATTTCGGCACTCCACCAGGTCAGTCGATGGGTGTGACGCCACCTGTCAACGCAAATTATTACGGCAGCTCGCCGGGCTACTTTGGAACTTCTCCTGGCAGACTGCATCCGCAGACTCAACTACACCCAGGATACCCTGTAATGCCAAACTCCGGCCCACCAACATCACAGTCGCAGCCATACACACCCCCTGGTGTTGCCAACCGGAATTACGCAGGGCCATCGTTCGTTGATCAAGATGGGTACATGCGGCCTCCACGAGACACTCGTCGTGCAAGCGCCACCAGCACACACTCACACCGCTCCGGCCGGTCGGATCGCTCACACCGCTCGCATCACAGTAGTGGTCGCCGCGATTCTCAACGTCCGGCCCCGCGTCGGCATTCCGAGGTACCGAGGTACTCTGATGATAACGATGACTCCGACGATGAGGGGGAACGCCGCCGCAGGCACAGCGAGGGAGGTGAGCGGAAGCCGAAGCCGCCAAAGCCGCACAGGCCGACCTGGGGAGACACTGTTTATGGGATGTTTGGGATCATCAAGGATGCACTTGGACCGAGGGACAAGTACTGAAGGAGGATGTCTTTGTTGATTTGCATGTGCTGGAGCAGAGGTGGTGTAGCCGAGGCAGATCTTAGCAGAGTGATGGTAGAAGGCGTGAGTGGAAGGTGTTGGCATGGCTGAGCAATCATGATTTACGAGATACCCGCATATCAGGCGTATCCGGTATGTATCAATTGGCGATTTCGTATGCTAAGGAAGGCACTTCGCACTTCACTTCGCTCGTTGGCTCACCGCTGTCCCGGCATGCCGGATTCCGGCAGGCTGCATGTGGTAGCATATGATGCTGCTCGGCAGCTCTCCGGCGGCAATGTTGTAGGTATACATACTACATTACATTATCGTTCTGTTACAGCGATCCCTTGGTGAGTCAGCCTCCTAATCGAGCGTCCCTCACACATTCTAAGGGTTCCCTGTTCAAGGCGCAGTGGTAGCGCATCCGATTCCAGTGCCTCAAATGATATGCTCGTTTGTTATGCCGTGCCTCCGGAAGGCCATCGGTTCGAATCCGATAGGGTTCAGTGTTTTTATGTGCTTTCTAGTTGCCTGCAAAAGCCTATGGTGTCTATGAGTTCACGCTACACATCAAATCATATACATGTATGTCGAATGTGACGTCTTTTTGCGCCTCTGATGCCCCAGACAGCTCATCAATAACAGGTTTCAAGACATCACGTACGCCCTCATGAGTTGCATCCCACCGCCGCGAAAACTCCAATAACATCACCCATCTGATAATTCCACGATCCTCACTCGACTTCAGATTGCTATTGATGTACGACTGGCTCGTACTTCCGGGCTGCGTTGCGGCTGCATCCTCTCGAACGAGATGAAGTGACATGATGCTTTTGTCACTCTTCTGCATTTTATCGAAGGCGTCGAAGATGAAGCCTTGCCAAATGTTGACAGTCTCTAGACCAGCGGGGAGTGAGAGAACTAGCAAAGCCACCGTAGCACCCAGCCCAGACATGCAGCCGTTGAGATGAATCCTCGACTCCGAATGTACCAACTGACATGCAGCTCGATTCATCGTCGCCAGCGTTGGGAGGTGCTGTTTGGTGCCGGGTGTCGGGTTGTTGAGCTTTTCCATGTATGGCTCAGAGGTCAGAACGTCGAGCTTGGAGACTTCGTAGAATGTCATATACTCTGTTGACTTAGTCGAGTCGTCTCGGCAGGCGTAGCGACGAGCTCGTAGGAAGCCAGGAATGGAGAGACGTTCAGGTAGATGTTCGTTTGTCCACCAGTCGTTCAAGGCATCTTCGTCGGCTTGAGTACTGGTGACACCTCCCCAAACCACCAAGGTAGCTGACCCGAGAAGGAACGACTTCTTGCCCTCGGCCATTGTGTGAGTCGAAGCAGCTTCGTTGAAGGCAACTCATCCATGGAAAATACACAATACACTACTGCGGGGAAAGACCGATGACGGCAGTGAGGATGAGGGTGGATAGCAGCAAACGACGAAGACTGATTACCTACTCCATTTGAGAGAGCTTATAGATATGCAAACACTGTTGCTTGGTGGGTCAGCCCTGTGATCCATCAACGAGTCTAAATTCAACTACTATAGCTTTCCCTTCCTTCTATCTTTACGCAAGGAGTTTTCCAGCTGCTGCGCCATCAGCTCCGGCGACCATCCAGCCTTCTCTTCCCCATCATGCACCTTCAATCTCATCATGCCGTCTTGCATAGTCGAAGCAATCTGCAGTCCGTCTTCTCTCCACATCCGGCTCTGATGCAACCCCCTGCCGTGCCGACTCCCGCCCGTCCACGCTTCTTGTACAAACCATATCGGTTCTCCCGTTCCCGCGTCCACCATTGATAGCTCTGGACCATCAGCATGCATGATGACAGTATGCGAGAGGCTTGCAATCTGTGAGTAGTCGTTCCCGATGCCAAGGTTGTTCGAACTATGCACGAGTCAGAAACGTGATAATCGCACAAGATGCTTGAGACTTACATCACAAACAAGCTATTGCGGTCCGAGGCATATAGGTGCGCGCATATGTGCATGTTAGGGTCGTCTTCGACGGAGGGCATGCCGCCTCTCACGCAGTAGTACTTCAGATTGCGCTTTTCCAGGGGTGGTTTGTCAGAGTTGTACGGATCCATGTCGACTTTGCGCAGTTTCAGGCCAGGAAAAGGGTCTGTGTACTTGTTGTTCCTCCTCTGGAATTCCCAATACCTATCAGTCGTCGTGAGTAAACATCCTTACCCATGATCATTGACCTGACTCACCAAGGTGCATCCACTCCGGGCACCTCCTGATGCTCATCTGGCTTCATGTCCCCGAGAACAGCAGCGTATTCTTGCCGTAGGTCAAGAGAAGGCCGAATGTCGATGGTAGCCATCGATTTCTTCTCCGGTCCTTATGTATATGTCAGTATGACTTGAGTAAGAGTACTCTTGGAATCGAGCACTCACGCTTGAACGAACATATGCATGTGAAACACACCACAGATCCGCTTTCCTGTACCACGTCCACGTAGCGGGTACAGTAGCCTCCATCTCGTATTTTGCGGACTCGGTACTGAGAAGGAACACCATAAATAAGGGAGCAAACATATCGAAGGCACAATGTCTCACCGTGAATCGCTCATTGGCCTTGCCGAGAAGCAGGAACCAGCCCGTCACGTTCTACAAACGCTGTCAGAACTGTCGAGCTGGTTCGGAAATGCATCCAAAGCAAATTGAGCAAGAGCGTTGTTGCAAGTCATGCTATACAGGATATGGAATCGCGAGGTATATCCTACCAGTGAGAGTGCTAGGCGATGAGTGTTACTTACATGTAATGCCATTCCCCTCGGAATTGTCTGCGCTGCGGCGTAGCACGCTTGCATGTACACATGTCCTCCGTACGTTCTATTGCCATTCGCTGGACCAAAAGCAAGTGCCTTGCTCCGGTAAGTCGTGTCGTCGAGTTTATCCAGAGCGATGAGCTTCGCAAAGTCAATGTAGTCGTTTCCATTGTCTGGAGGTGCCATATCAGCAAACAGAGGGAGTGAGGTGACACTGCTTCTCCAATGTTATGACCTAGGCCTCTGCTTTATACACGTGTGAGTCTACGAGAAAGGAGTTGAAATCTGGATACAAGAGGGAGAGAAAGTCGCCAAGATCAACCTCGGCAAAACACTGGAAACATCATCCAAACCGCCTTCCCCCAATCCTTCTCCATCACAAACGAGACGCCTTGTTTGTAGCAACGATTCGCTCATACAACATGTTCGCCACTGCCGTATGACCCTGGAGATTGGGGTGGTATGGTGCAATGTCCTTGTCCAGCATATCCACTGTGCAGTTTCTCACCCACTCATGTTGCGAGCCCAAACCGTGCTCCCGACTGAACTCCGCCACGGGGATAACTTCAACCCACTTCGAGCGAGATGCAGCAGCATCATCGTAGCTCTTTGCAAGCTGCAGGGCCACGTTATCGAACTTATGGACGTTCTCGGCGGTCAGGACGACATCGAGGCACGGTCGTGTGGCCTTTCCCATGATCGAGAGGTACTGCACCATGTAGACTTTGGCTTTGGGCGCAAGGGTGTGGATCTTATCTAGCACTTCACCAAGCCGACGCTCCAGGGCTTCCAGAGATAGAGGTGGTGGTTTGAATGCGGCGGCGACCACTCTGGGGTCTTGCGGGCTGAGGAGAGACTCTATCGTTTGGTCTATCATGCGTCCGATGTAGTCGATGTCGTTGCCGCCACAGGTCATTGTGACGATGGTCGTATTACTCCGGAGTCCATGTAGCTGAGGTTCGAAGACAGAATCACCAACGGTTTGCTTGTCGCGAAGCACGTGAAGGAGGGTAGCGCCGGAGACTGAGAGGTCGGTCAAGTCGGCATCGAGTCTTCGGGCCAGCTGATGGGCATAGTTTCGCGATGAGCGGCCTGCATTGAGGTGCTCAACGGGTCTGATGTCTGGTCCGGCGGCGAAGGAGCTGCCGAGCGCGGTGATGCGAATTCGTCTTGACCCGTTCATGTAGGTGCTCTTAGGTGTCTTAGGCGTAGATGGCTGTGCTGAAAGGGTAAAATCGTAGTCGCAGGATACTCTCAGGTGCTTGATGAAGGACGGTGTATATGTACGATAGCGATAAGGTTTGCTATGAAAACAACTCGACTTCCTCCAATGACACTTTCCCGACCATTAGTCCTCGAAGGTACTTGCCTTCTTGTACCGCAGCCACGATCCTCGGAAGAATGGCAAGTCCTTCCCAACGATTTCAACCTCTCAACGCTTTATAGCAAGCCGACAGCTGGTGCATTGGAGACTCTGCTTGGCCTGGAACGTTGTTTTTTGGAGCAACCGCGGCCGACTGTATAACTGGTGTGCCTGCCATGAACAAGCAGGATACACTCTGGCGGCCATTCCAGTACTCGTGCCTTGATGAAGCGTCAGCTGAGATGCCTAGGACAAGATGAAAAAGTCTCGTACCTCATCACGAGATCCAGATTGCGTGGTGGCATCCGTCCCTTCTCCTCGCCTCTCATCCTTTCACCAATATCGATGGGGCCTTGCGACATTCTGTCCGGCGGAAGGTCCATTTACGAGGAACTTAAGGACCTTCTTGGTGGTTTCCGCTTTGCTGGAAGTCTGCTTCTCTGCGAGCTGAGGCTTGTGTTGTTTCTTCTCTTCGAGACTCTGCGGTGCGTGGGCACCTTCTTTCAAGGCTTCGGAGTATGCTGGCAGTTGTTCGGACTGTGCTGAGTTGGAATCTTGATAACCCATGGTGGCTGATGTTTGCTGGATGACTTGATCTGGTAGAGGTTGACTTATGTCGATACGAGATGAGGTAGGAGCCGAAAGCTTGTTGGATAGTGGTGCTTGGGGTAATGATGAAAGAAAGAGAACAAGCCCAACGAGCCAAGAGCTGTTTATATATACTCACTGTACATCGTCGAGTGCGAACAGGGAGTCATGAGTCCATTGAACGCCGTCTCAGCACAGGCAGATGCGTACGCGTGAGCTCCGAGCAACTCGTACGGCGTGCTAACAATGTGGTGTGGAATCCATCCGATGCGCAGGCAGCGATATATTGGGGATTCGAACACTGAGTATGACTCCGCAGTGGTCCGGAACCTCATCAAAGCAAGCGGCTGCATCATACGGTCAACATCATGCTGATGCTGCATGGATCATGAGCGAACCAATACATCCTTCGAGCCATCCAGTCAGCTATTACAGCTGGGTCCGCTGTCGAGAGTGACTCAGATAGACACATACGACTCGGCTTCGTGAGAAGTCCAGAAGGCCGGACCAGTCGATGAAACCAGCCACTTCTCCGAACCTTTGGCCTCGAAAGGCTGATAAGGCTGCGCCGATGAGTTTTGAACGCCGTGACAAACGTACTCCTCGCTCGATGTGATCCGAGAGGGAAGTCTTTCGGTCTTCGATGCTGAACCTGGCGGTGATTCGAACTGAGCCCCGTCGTCCCGAACTCCGTAGCCAATATTCATCGGTGCTGTTCCTATCAATGTGACCGAGATGACTCGACGGGTTTTCATCGTTGGAAACAATCAGGTGC